TTTTTTTTAATTAATTTTAATTTTTTTTATTAATTACGGGCCGGCCCGAGCCTAGGCTTAGTTCCACCGAGCCCGAGTTGGGCCTGGCTCGGGCTTTTTCTGGGCTGATCCCGAGCTTTTTTGCCATCGCTAGGTGAAAGGCTTACTTTATTTTTAATGGGTGGGGGTGGGTAGTTACTCGTTAGGACATTTAGCCTATGTTTGGTTAATGTTTATAAACATTCAAACAACTTTTTATCCACACATTTCAAGGGACCTACAAGTACTACACACTTATCACCACTTATTTCTATCTATTTATAATCTAAACCGTTTATAAACACTTCCCAAACATGCTCTTAAAATAAGAAAGATGAAGGCCTCTATATAAGAAAAGAATCTTCTTTGATTAATGTGCATATGCTAATTCAAGAAATAATATCAAGAAAGGAAACTTTCTCTAAATAGCCAAATACTGGGGATAATGCTAAGTTTATCATTTTTGAAACTTCCTTTAAATTGGCCGTAAATTTTCAACCAGAAGATACATCTATTGCATGCTCCTTGCACACTTGAGGAAATAATTTTAGACAGAAGCACAACTTATGATTTATATCAGAATATGCTCTGTGCATAATAACAGAAGACATGTTTCCAAGCTAGTCGTAGATTTGGAAGCCTTTGTAAGACAAAGAAGCTCATTAACATAAATGGCATGTCTAAAAAAAATTATTTTAGCTGCAACTGCTACACTCGATATGTAATAATAATTTTAACCAAATCCTTTTAATTTTTGGAGGGTAGGTCGCTATGTAAATGAACACTCACGTTCAAATTCATAACATTTGATCAAAAAATTTGACCTCCAGGGAAAGAGAGATTCAAATAAGACCATACTTCCATAGAAGAAAAGGGAAGTTTTGTCAAATGTCCACGTACTAATCAAGAAAGGAAATTTTCTTTAAATTGGCTGAGGATTTTCTATCAGAAGTAATATCTATTGCATAGTCCCGGCAGAATTGAGGAAATAATCTTAAAAGGAGTCACGATTGACGATTTATGTCAGAAGACGCTGTCTGGACTATTACAAAAGATATCTTCCAAAATTAAATCTTAGAATTGGAAACCTAAACTTTATAAAAGAATGAAGCTGGTCGACATAAATGACGTGTCTTAAAAATGATTTTAGCTGCAAGAGACGCTCATGTGATAACCGCATCATTTAAGTTCTTTGGGCTGCTAAATTAATGAAAAACCAGAGCCCAGATTTTAAACTATATACCACATATTTGACCTGCAAAGATAATATAAGTAAGAGACAAAAAAAATGAAAAAATCATCAACTACGCAGATTGTGCTCACACTTCGATTTATTATGACAGATTAGAGGAATATAGTCCATAACTAATTGTGTTTACAATCACACAGATGATTAAATCCATCTCTACATTAAGTTATAGTCAATAGCCAAATTAACTTCCAAATAGATAATAAAAAAACATCACACCTCAGTTTGCATGGCATTCCAAGCCATTACACTCATCGGCCCTCCATTAGGCTGTTGACCCAATGACCTATACGGATTATCATGCCCCATTCTTTCTATTTCTGTTAGCTTATTGGATACCAATCCTGATACTCGCACGATTTCTGCAAATATACAATTTATTGAAAAACAGTTTAATATGAAATAGCAATAGAGGAATAACTGACAGAAAATAGTAGAACACCTGCAGTGGATATCCAACAAAAAAATCTGCCTCAGGCTGCAATCTGTAAAGTAAGTAATTTATCCCTAAACTCAATCCAAGTACATAATTCACTGATAGAACTACAACCAGTGACGGTATTCAATCAATAAATACATTTTTTTCCAGGTATTATGATAGACATACCACGTATAACAAAATAGGGCTTGTACTGGGAGGGCTAAGTCCGTGACTCAGTGGTCAAGATTTTAACAGCATTTGTGTTGCCAAAATTGTGAAATTCAGGTCTGTGCCAAATGGCAAGCTTCTCGCCACCCGCCATTCAATGGGAAAAGAACTTCAAAGATCTAAAGGGTTCATAACCATAAAGCCTGTGATCTCTTTTCTGTTATTATTAGTTACTATGTCATGTTCGGCAAAACTTAAATAAAAATTTGAGCTGGTCAAACATATTTTTTATCCACACATTTCATAAGACCTGGACCCACAACTTATAAACACTTAAAGACACTACTAAACATACTCTAGATTTCCTTTTCTAGGATTAACTGGCTATAAATCACAACAAAAGATGCCTGGAACGAGAAGTACAGATTAAAGGCTTCAGATTATAGGCATCATGCATGCAATAATGTCAAAATTTTAGATATCACCAAACCCTTTACTCTTACCACATTATTAACGGGAACAGATTTTAGATGCTCATTGTATTATAGGAGAAGTCAATATTGACATAATTAAAGAAATAAATTATACAAATTACATGGTTAAGATTGATCTTATTCTTTTTCACAACATCAAAACGTCCAGAAATAGATTTTCTTTTTTAAAATCTCAAACCAGATCCTAGATTGATCCTGAAAGGCTGAAAAGAAAACAGAGCTAAAACCGAACCAAACCAACTAAACATAATCTGGCATGTTCGATTCGTTGATCTATGGCCTTACCATGAAACTTGCTATAATTAGTTCTGTTTTTTTATGAAATGCCTATTAGTTTCACGATTTTGAGGTAGTGAAGGTTTATGATTTCTAAAATTGCGCCAACAATTTATCTAGAGACGAGTTTATGTAATGGATATGAGATTTTAAACATCAATACTTATGCATCATACTTTTGTTGTTGGCTTGATTGCTGATGCGCTCGATAGGATCATTTGTTTTGCATCTCATTGATGAAGAACTGAAAAACTAATGATCTGGTTTCAATTTGAAGTATTCAGTTCTAAACTGTGTTCAAAGGAGGCAATAATATGCTTGATTCTCATTAAATTTCGATGCAAATGAAAAGAAGTAGCCTTGGTTATGTCATGAGCTTGATATCTACAAACATTGGCGGTTATATCTTGGGGTCAGGTAAACAGCAGATGGGTATTAAGAAATTAATGTTTAGCTGAACAGAGCACAAATACATTCCCTCAACCTAACTGGATGCATTTCAAGCCTTAACTGCAGTCCTGAATAATTTCACAAGGTAGTTCTCAAGCTTCAGAATACAAAAGCAACACCCAGATGCGTATAGAAGATCCCAGTAAATTATTTCTTCATTTAGTGAAAATAGATCAAGTACTGCAAGATAAGTATTCAAATAATTGTCTCGTTAAATCAACCAGCACTTGTAAGACACTTCCCTTAAATTTGTGGAATTTTCTTCCTGACTATAAAATTTAGAGCAGCGTTATCAAAGTAGAAAAACTCAGAAAAGCAAGAGGTAGACCACTAATTTCTAAAACACGAATGGTGCTAATTTTTGCCTTTCTGCCAGTAGAACATTAACGACCTTGATTTAGAAGTCTGCTGCAAACTGGGAGAATCTGCATGAATGGTGCTAATTTTTGCCTCTCTGCCAGTAAATCTGACAAATATCTGTCAATGTCAAACCAATCAAATCATGTATCGCAATTAAGCATGCCCAGAGAAAGATTACCACTAGAACATCAAAGAAATAGTCTTGTGTAGAACCTTATAAAGCCAAGCGTATATACAGGAAATTCACATTTAACGAGCATAGAATAAAGCCAAAAAAGGGACAAGGGAAATTCACAGTTAATGGCTGCAAAATATTTAAAATTTGATAATATAGAATAGTTAATTGATTAGTCAGGAAAAAAGATCACTTTAGCTCTAAGTTCTTGAAAATCATCATTTAGGCAGGTGAAAACAATAGAGTATCCAATCTAAATTTGACAGCAGAAAATGCCCTTTGATCAAGATGAGCAAGAAGTTCGTATCTAATTCTTTTACAGTGAAGACTGCATCATGAAATTAAAAAAAAAAAAAAAGGAAGACTGCATCATGACACAAGCTTAAGTAATTATTACATCAATAAAAGTTCGCACTAAGGTAACAATCAAAGTAAGTGTGATTCGGTGATAAACACACACAATAACATAGCCTCACAAGGAATTAGCTGATGCCATCAATGGTAAAAATTCCACGGCTTGCAAACAATGTAGGCAATCAACCACAGATAACCTAGAGGATGCCAAGCAAAGTTGAAAAAAGACTAAAAAATACAAGACTATAACCGTATCTGACAATGTTCAGATATGAACCCAACAACAAAAGTTAGAAAAATCCAACAAAAAGCACAGACCAAAACCTCAAGGATATTTAGAACCATTGATGTAAACAGAAGAAAATGAAGGAAAACAAGGGAAACAGAAAAGAAGGTCAAAGTCCCAACCTTTCACGATCTGTAAGAGATGCAGACCTCTGAAGTGAACCATGAACCCCCGTAGGAGAGTACTGGAAGTAACTTCCCGGTGGGATTCTACTATCCATACGCCCAGTAATCACCGATATATACCTGTTAACAATCAAGTTTACTCTGTTATCAAGAAAAATCACTCTGAAAAAGTTTCCATGTATACATACACATATACGCGAGAGAAGAAAGTGGGCTTACTGGGGTGGGTGGCTAGGAGCAGCGACTGTGAAAGAATGGAGGTGGGATGGGATGAAGGAAGATTCCAAGTTGGGTTCCCCCCTTGTGGGAACGTTCCTCTCTTATGGGCAAGAGGGGAAGAGAAAGAAAAAAAAAAATGATTAGGGAGTGGAAATCCCCTACAATATAGTGGAAAGGATTCTTTGCTTTGATTTGTGTGTAACAAAATCATCGGATTTGTTCCACTTTTTACATGATGATCTCATAATATCTAAGTTTAAAGAATTGAATCCCTATTTGTTTGGTGGGAATTCAAGTCAGATTTTATTTTAATAAAAATTGATTAAATATGTGAGTGAAAAATTGCAGGTACTATAAAATATAAAATATAAAATGTGTGATTAAAATTAATTATTGACTTTTATTACCAAACTAGACTAACTGCTAAAATGTTTAGGTACCAGTTTGTAACCAACTCTGTAAATTAGGGACTGTCATGCAATATACGCGATGAGAATATTCCATTTGAGAGAGTAGAATCAGCACTCTGTGCATACGTATATCGTCGTACACGTGTGAATACGTAAAGTCGCGTGCGAGATAGTTGAAAGAGAAAACACGGCGACACTAGGCACATTCAACGTACGTAAGAGTCTGTCTCACCGTCTTACGCTCGCGCAGTACTCTCTCTCTCTCTCTTTTCTTCACCGCGACTTTCTCTCTGCCTTTTTATGCATGGCGATTCTGAAATCAAAGTACCAAAACTAGTGTAGAAAACCATGATCGAGCGTTGTTGAAAATTTTTCAATTGGAAATGTAATTTCAGGGCATTTTAGGGGTAATCGAAGAGGGAAAAAATTCAATTGAAGTGACTTACTGTTAACTGTAGAATTGTATTAGGTTTTTGTCAAGCATGAAGGGGCCGCTAGATCGAACCAAGGTCGTAGTGAGGCACTTGCTGCCGACGATTTCGAGGTCAGCTCTAAAATAGAGCACGTTTCCCGCTTCCTCGGCCGCTATCGCGGGCTCTCGTTTCGGCAAGGAAGATCAAGGTCGGGGTTTGATTGGTTTGCACGGGTTTTAATTTTTTTTTTAATAAAGTGTGTACGAGCGTGCTTCGGGTGATTTGATATTTGAATTAAGTTGAGTTGGCCAGGAAGTTGATTTAATATGGCAATATTTGTGTACTTTCTGAGGGAGTGAAAAGTTAGGTATTTAAACGAAGGTTTGTTGTTCAGGTAGTTGTCTTGCGTTCTTCTGCTGGAGCCGGTTTCCTCCCTTACTGGGGGAAGAATGTCTGTTGCTGTTGGTAGTTGTCTTGCGTTCTTCTGCTGGAGCCGGTTTCCTCCCTTACTGGGTGAAGAATGTCTGTTGCTGTTCTGACCGAAATGGTAATGTGCTAGGGAGTGAGCCATAGGCTCAAGTTGGGTAATGTTTGATGAAGTTATGTAGGTGCTGATAAGATAATAAAATCGACAGGAAGTGATCCTTACGAGCTGTAGACAGCAAATAGGTCTAAAGGTATCTGGGTAGTGAATGGAGTAAAATGAGATGTGTTTTCCCATGAACAATGGCATGTGAAGCATTGGTGGAAAAAGTGGGAATGTGCATTTTGGCACTGTGAACTGGAAGGTTTAGTTTTCTAGTTTGGTGGTTTGGATTGCCGTAGGTACATACTTTCATTTTGAGTTGTTTCCACCCGATTGCTCATTATTGTTTGTACTATCGGCTAATTTGTGAGCTTAATAGGAGAAGTTAATATCTGGATGCTGTATTGCAGACACTACCATGCATTTATTGCTGTATGCTTTACATATTTCAAGAGATAAGATATTGCAAGCAGGTATTGAATGGTATTGTGGTTATGAGAGGAACTACTGGTTCAATTACTGGAAATTGGTGTGAAACTTTCTCAATCACCAGTGCAACAACTTTTGTTTGTTGTCATTTAGAAGACAACAACCCAACTGTGATGTTTTATAATTCAAATCAATCTGTACATTGAACTCAAAACTCCACGAAAAGAACCATTGAATTTGTAACAAGCAAAAAAGTAGCAGTTTAGTGAAATTGGTGGTGATTGTGGTACTTATAACTATTTAAGACCTCATTTGTGGGTTGGAACCCATAGGATTTATTAAGAAATCGTACCCACAAATCAATTATCTCCACAATAATGCTTTATGATCTCATGGTCTCCATAATTGATACAGAGCAGACTGTACAATTTTCATTTTCCAACCATCAATATATGTTTTTATTATTGAGGTAGTGGTGCGGAAGCATTTTTGAAATTTTTATAATTTATAATAAGAATTATGTAATAATTAAGAATGATATTTGAACAATCATGCCTTGTATATATTGAATAATAATTGATTGTTGTTAAAAAGTGTACAATGCCTTTGTATTTATAAGTAAAATTATTCCATAATCCTATTAATAAAAGGAAACTAAATTCTAAAAGAAAATAAACTAATCATAATCTAAACAAGATTTAAAAATAAATATATTACAACTGAAAAAGGAAATTAGAAAAGATAATTTAAAAAGACAAACTCCTAGATAAAGTGAAATTTGTTAATTGTAGTTGTGAAGTACTACATCAATCCCCTCCACTTGAATAAAACTTGTCCTCGAGTTTTCTTGAAGAAAAAATCTATCAATCGGAAGAAAATACTCAAAAATTTCTACAAATAACGAAATATTTCTATCGTTGGTTGAAAAATATGTGACAGAGCAAGTAGTTAGAGAAGATTTGAGTGTCAGCTTCTTTTTTTTTCATTGATGCTGTTGTAGACCTGTCTGTTTTTTTAGGGTACACAATGCTGGAGTTAGATTGACTGTGGAAATTATATGTTGATATTTGCATATTCAAACTATTAATTTCATGTTTGGGCTGGAAAACAGATTTGTCCCAAATAGAGACTGGAACTCCTGGGTGGAAATTCCCATCCACTGAAAATATAAGCTACTGTGTGATGGGGAGGGTTTTGGAGGCTTATGCCATGATGGACATTTTAAGCTTATATTGACTTCTTATTTTTACAAGGTTTTTGGTGGTTGTGGTGAGAGGGGGCTGAAAACGAGAAGGATGTTGGATACAAGGATACGCCCCTTTTGGTAATATTGTTAATAGGATTTTCTGTAGAGATTTGATTGTGGAGTGTGATGAGATTTTTTCTTCAATTATTGGGTCATAGCCTCTCAAAAAATGGGAAAAAAAGACAATTCGAAGCCTGCATCCAATGCAGCTAAATGTTCAGTGTTCTTACAAGTTAACAGAAATGTAAAATCTAAATTTATTGAGTCATTAAAAGTGGCACTTTTGTATCTTGACGATTCTTGATATTAATGGAAATTAGTAGTTTCTAAATTTTTTATACATTTCAATTTTTTCATGGATAAATTGTATAGTTATCTATTTGTGATTTTGTCAATGGCTCACCACCTGTGTGGAACTCCCACGCTAACTCCAACGTCATTCTCCTAATCTCTTGTCAACCTCTGACAGAGGGTGTTGTTGAATGGGAAGCCAGCAAGAAGAGTCACTGGACGTACTGGGTCAGGTTCTTCAAAATGAGGCTCAGAAAAGCGAACTTCTATAGATATATTTTATTTAGATGTTTGGGTCAAACTGCTGATGCTGATTATATTGCTGAGAACAGTTCCCTTTCCATCAGTAGCAATTTTCTTTCGGCTGTTTTAGACTACCCAAAATATTTACTGTGGCTGATGGATGGCATGTCATTTTCGGATATACTGTTTATTTCCTTAATTCTATTTATATAATTGCTCAGGTTGGTGTCTGGTTACTGCGTTGAATGCAACTAAAATATCATACTTGTGATTCATGAAAGTGAAATCTTTTCTAATTCTAGATTGTTCTGGTATTTGAGCTCTAGATGTGCTTGGTGCACACCATAGTTTCCATGTTTAAAAAAGTAGAAAAACAAGAAGTAATTTACTAAATGAACGTGGTATCTGCATTAAAGTCAATAAAACTCTTGCACATATAAAGAGTTCTAATTGTGATACGACAATTACATTTTTTCTCGAAAATAATACTTCCTTGTAAACAAAAACATTTAAAAAATCTTTAACCAAATATATTTTTGCTTTATAGCTTATTGAAAAACATGTAAAATACTGAATAAAATAAAATAAAAAAGGAAAAACTAAATCTAAAGACACCATTAATTTTTATGTGAGATGATGGTTAACAATAATGATTTTTATTGCACTGATGGGCCACACTAAAAGTTTTCTACATTTGGAACTGTTGCTGGATTGTTCACCGCTTCGACATCTTTTTTGAAATCTCCTGTTCTTTGATTTCCTTATGAACACGAGGACTTATAGTTCTGACTTTCGAATGATGTAAATGCTTTTGGATTAACATTTACATTCTTTTTACTTTGGCATATATGCATTTGCCTTTATTATGATAATTCATCAGAAATTCTTTGGAGGATGGTACAGGAACCATTTTTTGTGGTTTGGTCATAACTCCTTAACCATTATAAATTCCTACAATGGCGTAGAAACCATTTGTTGGACGCTTTTGGTGCCTTTGTAGTTGTAACTCATTAAGCTTTTACTTACTCAGATATCTTATGAAAGTATGTTTTGAGGGATAGCTCAAAGTATGCAATTGAGAAAGACAAATCGACAAATATACTTGTTCCTAAACGAGATGATCAGCAAATCTCCAACAAGTCTGTAAGTTTAGCTGGTGCATTGGATGAGGAAAGTGGTACGATGTGATATTAAATTTATTGTTTAATGGTGCGATTTTATATTTCCTTGTTATTTAACGTGTTGGCATTGTGGGTTGCATTGTATTCTGACAATACTAAGTTGTTTCATAATGGATGTCAGATGATATTACTTGTGTATTCACATGTCTTAAAACTTTTCTTGTTATTAGCATAAATTATCCGGCCAAATGTCATAAATCATTTATCCCTTTCTTTTATAACATGTATGGAGTTGATGGGCCAGGTGTCGGACTTATTCTTTGCATTGTATACTTGTGTATCTGAAATTCATTGTTCACAAGCTACTAATTACAGTCACCTAGAGTTTTATAGTCCTGTGTTCTCATCTCTGTTGAGTTATATTTTTGTAGCTATTCTCATACTTGTGCATCTTGTTGTTTTGGAAAAGTATCAATTTAGAACTGTCCTATGGTAATAGCAACGTTGCCTTTTGAATTACTGTATCCTCTTTCTGACAATGTGTTATTGGTTCGGTCTTTCCAAAGTCATTTTGCTGTTGTTACTGTGATGCATTGTGTTTCATGTTATGCTATTCAATGTGTTGCAGGAGGCTCAAGACCCAATGAAACTGGGAAGAAGAAAATCCTGCTATTGAAGGGGAAGAAAAGGAAATTCCCATTGTGAGTTAATATCTCGGTTTATAAATAAGTGTGTTACTTTAAAATGAGAAAAGACTGAAATTTGAGGAAAAAGTGGACCATAAACATGGTCCCCTAGTTCTTTTTGAAATTCTTGGTAGTTCGCGTGAACTTTCACTGAAGGTGAATGGAAAATTATTTTTCTACTTTGATCAATATGGGACTGAGAGTATAGATTGGCATATCATAAAGATGCTAAAGTGTCTCTTTTACCACCTAGTAAATATTTCATTATTTTGTATGCATGAAGTGGTTTTTCAAACTTGCGGCAAATATAGTTGAATTAACATGCACCAATTACAAATTTTCTTGTAGAATTTTAATGTCCATATTAAAAAATGAAAGAAAAACACATAGGTTTC